ATAATTAAAAATAACAATCAGTAAAATAAATAGCAAATAGAGATTTAATTATTAATATTGCATTGTTTACCAACCGTGTCAGAAACCAGCTACGATCACCAAACCAACAAATAATACTATTGAATTTGAGTTATAATAGAAAACGCAGGAGTAAGCTGGGGCATCATAATCTAAATCGGATATTTCTTTTCAGTGAAAATCGATCAGAAACGCTACACGTCATATGGTTATAGTTCGAATTAAGTGGTATATTTGGAGTCTATACAGACTCCAAATAATAAAATTTTAGTAGGAAATAAGCCAAAGTGATTTCGAGTCATTCAGAACTTTGCACGCCACTCCCTATTTTTCCTCAATAAATAAACAGTCATGATTAATTTTTTAAAATTTTCTGGATCATTAGTCCCGCGGTATAATGAACTCTTGTTTGCTTTTTATAATAGACGTTCATCCTTTTTGATACAGTATATACAGTACAGCATATATTTATTTATAATATTTATCTTATTTATTTAAAACATTTATTCTTTCAAAAATGGGAAAACTTTTGTTTACGTGGCCTTTTGCTATTACAGTATGTGTTAATTTATGATATAAAGTACAACAACGGTAAATGAATTGATATTATCACACATTCTATTGTACATTCGGAGTTTCATTACGGGAATTTTTCTTTTTGATAAGCTGAAAAATTTCTATGTGGCTAATATCAAAATTTTGTGTCGAGTTTCTAATGGGTTTTTCATAATTTTGCTGCCGACAGTAATATAACACTTTATGTATCCACGGGCATACATACATGCTTAGATCAGTAGCTCCAAATCGGGGGCCGTATTCTTCATTTTCAATAATTGCAGCCTTCGGATTTTTGACTCGACTTAAAATAAATTGTTTGATACTTCTATTTTTCAACGAGAAAATAAAACTATCACTTGTTTTCACGTATTTCCAATCCGATCTTGGTCTTGACCAGCCAACGGGATTGTAACCACCAAGAATCTCATCGGTCTCTCGAACTTTCAAAAGTACAATCAAATTTTTTTCTCGATTGCATGACATCCAAAAGTCTTGCATAGCGAATTCATCTCCTTCTTTACGTAATATCAATTTGAGTTCGTAAGGAATTTCCGTAATATTGCAGGGTGTCTTTTTTTTATCAATCCATGATACTATTTCTGCCACGTGTTCATTTGTTACTATTTTTGACTCGGGGTAAAGACTATCCGGAGTTTTTCGAGTCGGAAGAACTTTCGATGAAATTTTAATATCGGATGGCAAAGATCTGGTCCAAACATCAATCCAAACTTGAGCATCAAGAATTTGTTTGTAAGGCTTGATTTTTTCGACGGAAATCTGAAAGAATCGAACATACGGCAAACAATGCTGAAGCGTCTTTGAAAGAATGAGAAAATCGGAATTTTTCCATTTTTCGAGGTTTATAGGTAGACTAGGATTTTGTGCAACTCCCCATTTAATCAAGTAATCCCATACTTTCGTTTCATCAAGTTTCAAATCATCTCTTTTGATAATGGATATCAAAGTCTTTTCATCAAGTCTTTTTGAGTCATCAGACTCAAAGAGCCTACTCGAATGTTTTACAATAACGTCTTCGTAAAACTCTCGAAGCTTGGATAATTCATCATTTAAGTAAATTCTCGGATATACGTTAAAAAAGTTTGAACGCAACCAGGCAGCTTGATATTTGATCAGGCAAGACTCCAAGTGCTTGGTCAATTCTTCAAGTTTAAGCTCACTGGCCGCCACCAAAACGTCAACAACAAGCAAGATTTCGAGTTTTTCCAAGTTCAAAACTCCCCCATAAATGTATCTATTTTAAAGTAGGAAACCAGGTGTTAAAGATCATGCATATTTCTTGATCCACTAGATCTACTTACTTGATAATGATGCCAAAAGCTTTTACTGGAATATTCGGTTTCGTAATGGTTCGGATATTTCCCTTGCCATCTTTCAACTCATTATAGAGATGAGGGCAACGACAGCATAGAATGGATGCATGTGCCTTAAACGATTGTTTCAAAGAACCATTTCCTATTTCAATGATGATGTTATATTCTTCATTATTTTCAAGGAGACTTAAGAAACTTTGGGACAAATTTCCAAAGAAGGTTGAGGTCATTTTTTTTTCTGTAAGAAGGGATACTGTGTGTTTGGTATCGCGCTGAAAAGCATAAAGTTAGGCCGTCTTTTGTTTCTGAAAATAGAAAGATCAGTATGCACCATTCCAATTTTATTAACTATCCAGATACTCGAGAAATCACACGACGCAAAATATAAAGTCAGTGTGACAAAAAAATCCCAATGAAGTATCATTTACAAGTCTTTTGGAGTCCTCACGTAGGGAAGTGAACTTTGAACGTTACTGAAACCGTGTTTATTTAACCAAATGCGTTAATCTAATTTGTGCACACGCAGTATTGATTGACGCACTGTAAAAATAATTAAATAATTTCCATATTTACAGTAATGAAATAAATTCGATCGAAATAGATGGTTGGAGAATAATGGGAAATGTGAAAATTATTTTTATAAAAAAGATTTTTGATCACATTAAAGATTAAATGAAAAAAATCGATCAAAGCTTAATTTTTTTTAGTGATGATTACTTATTGAAAGTATACACTGCCCCAACAACTTGTCTGTTATAATTTTTAATAACATATTTTATTATTTTATATATTTAAGATTGTCTTCATTTATTATTTGTTGAATTGTCAATGATACAATAATAAATTTGTTATTAAATACATGATTATTATGTAATATTAAAAAATTAATTTAACTTAATATATTGCAAATATTACTTTCAAATTAGGCATATAACAAAAATTGTATTATCATATAAATTTTTAAACCAATATTTTTATTATAAAAATAAAGATTTTTAAAGTTATAGTAAATTGAAAAATTAATTGAATTTTTTTAAAAAAATTTAAGATATTAAAAATTCGATATGCTGTAAGTGTTCGATTTTTTTTAAATATATTTTTGCTAATTAAAATTACTTTTAATAATAAATCTTATTGTTTTATTGGATATAAGAATTATAAAAATAAGATTAAATTATCAAATAATTAATAATAAAATAAAATATATATTTTTTATTTTTATTATATCATATTTCAATTGAAAATTTGATATATTTTTAAAACATTTTAAAATAAGTATTAATTAAAAATTTTGTTTTTAATAAAACCATAAAAATTATATATGTAATATATTTACAATAACAAAGTAACTGTAACTAGTTAGAACTTGTATAAGCCAGTACTTATATATTTTATATAAATTATTTCTCACAAATTATTCTTATTTCTAATGTCCAAAAACCAATTGTTATAAACAATTTTTTTTTGTAATGTCAAGATGGGATTTATAGAATATAAAAATTATAAAATTAGTTTTTAAATTATATAATCTATATAGTTTAGCTTGTTTTCAAAATATCTTTATTAGAAAATTAATTCAAGTATTTCTTTTATCTTATTGTTTAAATTCCAAACTATAAACTTGTCTTAATTTAAAATTCTTACAAGCTATAATCATTTCTATTACCTGTGGCTAATAAATCATTTAAATTTTGTATTAGATTAAAATATTCTAAATTAAAGCTTTAACTACTACTATTTTACTAATCTCAAAAAAAAAAATACAACTATAAAAACTGGTCACAATATCAAAAATAATAACTTTATATTTCATAAAATACTTAATACCTTAGTAATAAACAATAACTTAACAAATAAAAATATATTCACACTTACAATTGTATTATTATTTTGAATAAATATTAGCCATTTAACATTGCTAACATAGACTTACCTACTTAATATAAGTCAGAATTAGTAGAAAAAATTGCAATAAACTAGGATTAACTTACAATTTATATAAAAATTTTCAAAATAATGACTATAAACTCTTGTTTAATAAAAGTCTCACATTTAATATTTATTTTTAATTTAAAAATAACAATAATAATATTATTAATTAATTAATAAAATAAAAAAACTTTTTTCCAAACAACTTACATTTGAAAAAAATTACTATATAAGAAAATCCAAAAATTTCTTTTTCAAAAAACTGATAAAAAACCTTGAAAAATTATTCTTATTCTTTAAATATCAATTCTTTAAATCAATATATACTTTATTATTTATACTTATTATTAATGTCCTGTAATAATTATTTACAAAAATAATAATACAAATGTAACTTATTGTTAAAGTAAAAAATAAACTATATAAATAATAGACAAAAATAATATATATATATATATAAATATAATAAACATGTTAAAATATTCAGTATTTCTAATAATAATAATAATAACTTTTTCTGCTGATCCTTTTGCCAACCAAAAAAACAAATATTCTCAAAAAACTTTTTGTTTTTATGATAATAAAGTTTATACACTTTTTAACAACACTGGTTCTTTAACCAACAAAGTAAGCAGAAGCTATCACTTGTTTTATTTTCCTTTTTAAAACACTTTTCTTGTTTATTTTGGCGACTAAATACAAGAAACCTACCTAAAAGGTCTAGGACAAGAACACCTTTCTAGGAAGAAAACTGACAAGAAAAAACACCCTCCAAAGATTCCCCAAAGATTCAAGAATCCAAAAAAACAAAAACAAAGAAGTCTCTAGTCTTTCCATCATCTCTTTGGCTTCTCTCTTTTTTTTTCTCAAGCATGCTTCCTTTTTTCTAGTTTTTCTGGGGAATTTTGCCTACCTTAGTTTGACCTGAATTTTTTGGTCACACTAGATTTCCTGAAAGATGATTGGTCAAGGTCACGAATAGGTTGATCACGTCAGCTATAGAAAAAGTAAACAAGACATGTACTCCTCACATGTTCCCAGTCACACAACACCAAACTTATTATGTAATTGGTTCTTGAAAAAGTTGGATGGTTTTTAGTTAAAGTTGTGAGAAGAAGAGAAGCAACTCCTTTTGTTCTCATCCTTTTATTTTCTTTTATTTTTACTATTTTTTCTTAAGGACAGGAAATAGCAACAAGGTTTAGGTCCTATCCCAATCTGGTAACAAGTTGAAGTATTGATATTTATTCCGAAAATAGTTGAAAAAAGGGATCTTGAAACTATTCATCAGTTGAATGAAGCAATAATTCCAAAAGATATGGCTTGGAAGAGAAATTAACAATAGAAAACCAAATTTTTTCTGGTTAGAAGTCTTCAAGCATAAAGTCTTAAGAAATACTCTCTTGGAAGTGTTCTCAAACGTTCTTGGATATCGACTACTCCAATAGAAATTAAACAGTTCTACTGGTTACAGGTGGTAAGAAGTAAGAAATCATGAGGGCTTGGGTTTTTGAAGTTTATAGAAATAACCTCTTCAATGATAGTTAGAATAGACTATAGCTTTTTTTCTTTTTTTTTGTCCAAAAAATTCCTTTTTTATTTCTTTTTCCTTTTGTATAGTTACTACAAAAGGGTGGTAACACAATTTGGGTTTATGGTCGCAACTGTAGAGGTGATTTGCAGGTTTTAATCCTACCGGAAGTTTGGAATTTTAATCCTATTCACTAGGGAAACAACATTATCATCTCCATAAATCGTATCTAGAGGCTTTGGCTAAAGATGGGTGAGTTGGATCAGGAAAATTTATATTTTGCATAGATTCTCAACTTGTAATAGTTCTTTATAATTTAATAAATAAACAACATCAACTTGATTGCAGAATTAAAAAAAAAATATTTAGTATTTCTAATATATTTTAGTATTTTGAATTATATATCTGGTATAGCAAGGATAACAAGGATAGCAAATAATTATCAAGTATAATATAAATAATAAGTATAAAGTTGTATAAAGTTGTATAAATTATATAAAACATAAAAAGTATAAAAATAGAATGATAATATAAAAATATAATAAGCAAAAAGAATAGATCTTATGTATCAAAAAGACTATCTATCTTGAGAAGATTATTAATCAAGAAGTAATTATACAAAAGGTTACTATTAATAATGCAAGATTGACAGATCAATTTGTGTCTTTATCAAACTTGAACCAAATATATATATATCTTTTGAGAAGAAATCATTTCTTATTATTGCATGGCATAGAAAAAACAAAAGTAGCAAACTCATAATATTTTACTATAATACTATGTTATCTCTTCCATTACATATACTTACCTCTTAAAGTTTAATTAATCCTATTTTTTTTTAAGAAAAAAATTTAAAAGTTTCAAAATTATAGTAGTATCTTTTAAAGTATATAAAAAAAGACTTGATAATTATTATACTGAAATAAAATATCTTTTCTTTATCCTATGCTCCTGAAAATTCTTAACTCTTTTTGTGAATACCAATACTCTTTTTACTTATCAAATAATGACAAAAACAATATTATAAAAGAACTTCTCAAAGACAACTTAAACTATAACTTATATATTTCCTGGAATAAAATCAATATTCATATTAATAAAAAGAAAAATATTTTTATTTTGAAACAAAAAACCTAAACACTTATACCTCCTTTAAATACACTAGTATTGACAATAATATTAAGGACTTCAAGAAAAATATTCAATTCCTTAAAGATAACAATTATATAGTAAAACATCTCTCTTATGACTATATTAAAGCTAAGCATTTATTTTCTCTTTTTCACTATATAAGAAACTATTTAAACTCTTCTCTACTATAAGATTTTTAAGGTTGAGATACAATAATTTGATCTGAGTTTCTTTTTTAAACTCTATAAAACAAACTTACAATTTATCAATATACATTTAAAATAGAACTACTTAAACTATCTTTTAGTTTCTGTTATAGAAGTTCTTTCTTTATTTTGATTTGACCCTTTTCTTATATATATGCTGATATTATAATAAAATTATAACAATTATCTTAACTATTTTAACTATTTTAATTATTTTTACTATAATTACTATATTCATTATAACCAAGAAAAGACATATAATCAAGAAAACTTATAAAGGAAATAAAACAACTATAGCAAAGATAACTCAGATTTTTGAGATTTAAAATTATTATAATATCAGTCCATATAATAATGTAAATCTCCTTTTACATTAATACAGTGAAAACAATCTTATTTTTTATTCAATCATTATTCAGAAAAAAGCTAATAA